ATTTTTTTTTTTTTTTTTTTTGGTACCAGGGTTTGAACTCGTGACCTTGCACTTGTGAAGCAGGTGGCGGAACCACTGAGCTAAATCCCTGGCCCATGTATAATTGTAGCACAGGTTCATGTCTCCCAGACTGAGTAGGAAATCTGCACAGGAGGAAGATTCAGAACATATCACATGTTGCAGGGTTATCTTGGATGAGTAGGCCTGCATTCACCTTTCACTGCTTCTCCACAAATAGTTGCCATGGGTTTGGAGGTGCACCTTCTAACAAACACTTCAGCTAGTCTAACCAGCAAGACAGACTTCCAAGATTTCTCTCTGCCCTTTTCTCCCTAATTTCCCTGCTTTTGGATTGCATTTTAGCCTATTCCCTACTAGCTGTGTTTAGGAAGAGCAAAGAACAACTCACATTTCTTAAGAAAAAGAGGTACATGATTTAAATAAATAATAATCATTTGTGAAACATCAGGTCTCAGTCTCACAGAGGTGAGTCTAATGGAGAAGGCATTTATCTAAAGCACAACTCAAAACACATGTGAAATCACAACTGATAAACTCCATGAAGGACAGGCACAAGGTACCCTAACAGCTAGAATAAGAGGTTTGACTGTCAGAGAGATGAAGGGAATAAATGACCCTGAAAAGTGTTAAGTAGTTAACTTGGTTAAGAGGAAGGAAAGTGAATTCCAGGCAGAGGTGGTAGTAGTAGTGGGACCAAACATCAAAGTAGGAAAGTCTAAAGGCCAGCTCGCACAGAGAATGCTACAGGAAGCTCAGTGTGAGCTGAGGCTGTGACAGCAGCCAAGCAGGGCAGCTAGACTGTGTTCAGTTTGTCTATGTTCTCAGAGCAGTAAGAAGCACCGAAGGCTTCCTTTCTGTTTTCTTTTTGGGGTGGGGGTACAGGAGGTGTTGAATGAACAGATGAGATAGGTAAGGAGGAAGCCAGGGAGAGAGAGCAAGAATGGCCAGTTGAGGTGTACATGTGAGCTACTTTGGATCCTATATGGAGACAAGCTTGGGCAGAGGACTAAGTGAATACAGCTAAGTGAGTTGAGGCAGTTACTGGAGAGTGATTCAGATGAGCCACTATGAAAGAGCCGAATACTACGGTGATTAGATTTAAGAGATGTAGGAGACAAAATTGACAGGAGAAGAGACAAGGTTAAAGGGTGAGTATTGGCTTTCTGACTGTGAGCTGAGAAGATCGTGCTATTCATTAACACATGGAACAATAAAAAAGACTAGGTTTCTTGGGAAAAAGTGGGTTTTCTTGGAGCATATGGAATGTTGAAGTGCCACTGAGTATCCAAGAGGCCATATAAATACTGATGTGGAGTTCAGAGAAGAGGTTCAGGCTGAGATGTAAATTTGAGAGTCATTTCTGTATTTGAAGTATTTGAAGCTATGCAAGTAGAGAGGTGTTGTCCTCATGACTAAAACATTAGTTAAGAGGAGGGTGTATAAGTCCAGGTCTTGAGAAACTGTTGAATAGAATATTTACTAGTTGAGTAGAAGAGGATAAAGCTGCACAGGAAACCAAAAAGGAGTAATAGAGAAGGCAGGAAGAGAGAATTTCCTGGAAATAGACCATGTGAACATAATGTCAGTTACTGCTGGAGAGGCCAAATAAGACACGGACTAAAGGTATCTGATGTGTTTAATGACATGGAGTCACTATGAACCTTAACGCTATGCTGCAGTAGTGACAGTCCTGAAAACCAGAGTGAAGAGGCCTGAAGAACAGTTACAGGAGATGAGAAAACAGAGTCAAATGCCATAAGAATGCATATCATAAAGAGAAGGGATTCAGTGAATATTTACTTCTTTTTTTTTGAGCTTATAAACACATGAACTTTTTTATCATTACAAGAGAGTTAAAATGAGTGGCATGAATCCAGAAGAATCTAGAAGAAAAGCAATCTGTGAAGACTCAGAATATTAGTATTGGCTAACATTGAAATAATAATAGTAGTAGCTAATGAAGTGCCCTTAACATGTACCAATCATTCTTGTAGAGTCACTGATCCTTTCACAATGAGCAGGAAGAGTCTTTTATGTAGGATGAGTCAGGATTTTGACAAAGTAGATGCAGGGAGATATTTCTATATTTTGTAGGTTTATGAAACCTTTCACCTGAGGTTACTTCCACATTAGAAAAAATTCAATTACTTGAGGGTTTTATTTACTTAAGATCAAATTATCTGAGGATCTCTTTTGATGTTTTGAAAAGCTAGAATTTAGGGTACATTTTCTTAAGCTTCGTAGTCACAAGCCTTACAAAGGTATTAAATTACTTCTTTCAAATATTTCATCAATTATAGCCATTTTAATATCTTCCAAGACTTTTCAGTTCAGAAAAACTTTGAAATTTTAATACTGAGATAATTGCAATAAAAGCATCTTTCAAATTTATTTATTTCAGATCAGATTATCGTCCTTATGAAATAGTGAAACAACTTCGCCACATGCCAGAAGAATATAAACCAAAACAAGGAAAGATTGATCTTGGCACTACCTACAAAAGAGATTTTACTTCTTATAAAGTGCAGCCTGTGGCAATGCTTCGGCCTTTGGAAAGGCAGCAAGTTAAAAAAGGAAAGTTGGACACTGTCCCAACCTATAAAGGTAACTTACCATTTCAAAAATTAAGGAGCTAAAACACTAAAACTTCCAATTTTGACATCTACTAACTTTGATGTGTTGCCAAATTTAAGTCTCAGAATTTAGGAAAGAATTCTTTTCTCTTTTGTTAAAGTACTATTGTATATCCAAGAAACAGAGACCATTTGCCTGATGGAAAGATGAGAGACTTGGGTTCTTCTCCAAATTCTTAGTTTTCTATATTTCAAAACATTTGACAAAGGATACCATTGAATAAAGGTTGTGTCACATTTGTCACTTTATGTCACCTTTAGTTATCCTTGTCCCCTTGTTCCTATTCCTAAAATGGGTTGAACTCTACTAAGAATTCTGGAGTCTTTGAAAAAGTTAAATAAGTGGCAACTCTCTTCTTTATTCAGGTTCCAAATCAACATAAAAGGCAAAAGAGTTAGTAGATTCCTTCTATATTGATAAAGACTAGGATGGAAGATAAGGCTTCCATCTGTAATCAGGTAGTTCCTGGTACTGAACCTCAGGATATGATAAGCTTATCCACCCCACTGGCCAATGCTGAACTACCACATACATAGGGGACCTGCTCCTCTGAGACTTTGAGCATGGAGGAGTGAGGTGCCTTCCCCCTTCTGGCAGCTCTTCTGAAAGAGTAGGAGCTGGACAATGAATGACCAGATGTTCTTTGTGTTTTTGTGTTTTCTTCTTGAAAAACACATAATTTTCAAATATTCTATTACTTTTGTGAGATAGGAGTCTTGATTTTAAAATACATATTCTTTTCTTATTTTTCAGTACCGGGGATTAAACTCAGGACCTTGCCATGTGAGGCAGGCATGGCACCACTGAGCTAAATCCCTGGTCCATAAAATATATGTTATCTTGATAGTAGATATTATGTTTTCTTTTTAAAAAATAATGTAATTGAATATACGGGCTCACATTGTTTCCATTAGTTATGTGATATAGCTGAATGGGTATAACCTAATATAAAACCTTTTTATAAGAGTGATGCCAAAGTAATGATTCATACTTTAATTAGACCACAGCTAAATGCATACTTTTTCCTTAAGATTTCCTGAAGATTGCTATTTAATGGGTAAGTAAAGTGCATGATCAGTATATTGTGATATATGAGCCTACATATTAGAGAAATATAAACATTATTTCCTGAATTTTAAAATTATGAATATATAAGGTGCTGTATAAGTAACAAATTATGAAGACTGGATATGGTGAACAATCATAATATAATCAGATATAGTAATAGCTAACAGATAGGTTTATTTATATATACAGGATATAATGTACCGGACAAAATTTGATGTAAAAGGTAATTGATGAAAATAATTTTACTTCATCTTTTATATAACTGCAGTGAGATGTTTTCTCTCCAAGATCTATGAAACCGTATCAGTAATGCTGATGTCGCTTGATGCTGTGAATATACATATGGTGTGGACATGTGCATACACACACACACACACACACACACACACACACACACACACTCACAGACCAACCTAGTTGGCTTTCCATTACCTGAGTTCCCTGTGATTTCCATATTTCCACTACTATAGTTCGCAATTGCTTCTGGCTTTCTAGCTTCTAAATTTTCTGGTCAGGAAAGGTTCTATTTTATATTTGCAGGTTTTCAGGCACGTGACAACAGAGATGTGAAGGGACAAGGCTGTCCTTCACCATTCTGTGCAATTTCACTGAAGGTTTGGTAGATATCTACTTAAGGAAAAATATCTATAAAATCTAACTCTAAGAGTTAGAAGATAAAAGTAGGACAGAAATAGGATATGATAAAAAAAAATTCTCCAGGTTGGTAAGCAGGGCAACATTTACAATCTGGACATTTTTTTTCTTTTATTTTTTTGGTACTGTGCACCCAGCAATGAATGCATGCTAGACAAGCACTCTAGTACTGAACTACATCTTTGGTCTTCTTTATTTTTGAGGCAACATCTTGCTAAGTTACCCAGGCTGGCCTCAAACTTGTGATCTTTCCGCCTCAGCCTCCAAAGTACCTGGAATTACAGACATGCTCCATTGTACCTGGCTTGGACACAGGATTTATGAAACAGAAATGTATCTTTCCCCAGTATCTTCAGCACAGAATCTTATATTAAAATACATTTGATGAAAATAGGACACTGTTTGCCAGGGATTTAGCTCAGTGTGGTTCCGCCACTTGCCTCGCAAGCACAGGACCTGAGTTCAATCCCCAGTGCCAAAAAAAGGACACTTTCATTTCATAAATGTTTTAGTGATTACCTGGCCCTGTGCTAGTCATTGTAGGAAATAGAAATCTGGAATACAGAATGTTTGTTGACATTAGAAACTTTATAATTGATAACCAAGATACAAAAATCTGAAAACTACAAAACATTGATGAAAGAAACTGGACATAGATATCCTGTATTCATAGATTGGAACAAACAGTGTTAAGTTGTCAGTACTACCCAAAGCAATCCATAGATTCAACACAATCCCTATCAATATTCTATTGGCATTTTCCAAAGAAATAGAAAATAAGCAATCGTACAATTCATGTTGAATAATAAGAGATTCTGATTGTCACAGCAATCTTGAGAAAGAAGAACAAAGTTAGAGGCATTACACTTCTTGATTTCAAATTATATTACAAGGATATAGTAATCAAAATAGTATGGTACTGGCATTAAGAACAGACACATAAGATCACTGGAACAAATCAAGAACCACACAATATATTCAAGCTCATATAGCCAACCAATCTTCAACAAGGCCACTATAAATACACAATAGAAAAAGAATAATCTTTTCAATAAATGATGTTGGAAAAATTGGATATCCTCATACAAAAGAATGAAATTGGATCTTTATCTTACACCATACACAGAAATCAACCCAAATTTGATTAAAGACATACACATAAGATCCAAAAGTGTGAAAGTCCAAGAAGAAAACAAAGTTCCTTGACATTGACATTGGAAGTGATTTTTTAGATACACCAAAAGCACAGGCAACAAAAGAGAAAATAGACAAACGAGATTACCAGAAAACAACCTACAAATTGGAAGAAAATATTTGAAAACCGTATATCAAATAAGAGATTAATATCCAAAGTATATAAGTAACTCACACAATTTAATAACAAAAAATAAACAACTTGATTTTCATAATGGCCACAGGATCTCAGAACATATTTTTCCAATGAAAACATACAAATGGCTAACACGTATATGAAAAACTACTTGCCATCACTAATATCAGGGAAATGTAAATGAAAAACAAATTGAGATATCACCTCACACCTGTTCAGATGTGTATTATAAAAAAACATAAAATATAAAACTGTTGACAAAGATGTAAAGGGGGAAAAATTCCTTGCGTTCCTATAGGTAGGAATGTAAACCGGTGTACTCATTATGGTAAACAGTTTAATGGTTCCTCAAAAAAAAAAAATAGAACTACTATATTATATAGCAAAATCTTTTCTCTGGATGAATACCTGAAGGAAATAAAATCAGTACCTCAAAAAGATAGCTGCAACCCATTATTCAACATTATTCAAAACAACCAACATATGGAAACAGCCTAGGTGTCCACTGGTGGATGAATGATTAAAATAATTGTGAAGGAAGGGGGAGGGAAAAAAAGAGACACACAGAGTGAGATCCTTATCTCTATGTAAATATTTTTTGGATGAGATATCGTGGGGATGGAACCAAGTTTAAACACCCCCCCACACACAACCTAAAGGTGATTTTATACAATATTTATAGTGAGCCTTTTCAATTATAACTGTTACATGAGGTCAAATATGGAATTTTCCACTTCTGTCCTCATGTTAACATTCAAAAGGTTTTAATTTTTGAGCATTTTAGGTCAAAGATGGTCACCCTGTGTGTGTCTGTGTATGTGTGTGTGTGTATGTGTGTGTGTGTGTAAAATGGAATATTATTCAGCTTTAACAAAGGAGACTGTCATTTGTGACAACATGAATGAGAACATTTTGCTAAGTAAAATATTCCAGACATAAAAGCAAAATACAGAATGAACTGACTTATATGTGAAATCTTTAAAATGTTGAATACACAGAAGCAGGAAATAGAATGATAAATTATATCATAAAAACTAAATAACTGTACTAGAAATTAATTATATATCACAAAAGAAGGGCATTCACTACAAAATTAGTGGAAAAAAAATCAATGCTTCAGAGCTCTATACTTGGTAAAATATCACTTTAGGCTAGATTAGGAATTCATGATAGTAGTGCTATTGATATACAGAGAGAGTAAGGATATCCTAAAACCTGATATGAAATGAACAAGAACTCATAGAACCAGAAAACAAGAGAATTCTTCAGTAGACATGATGAGCACCAGAGATTCAGGGCTGAGAAATTAGAGTATAATCCCACACATGTTTGTTGGGGTCAGACTGGAATGAACCTTAATTGCCAGGTTGAGGGGTTTGACATTATTCTTAGAGCCCTTACAAGTGTTTATGGGGTTCTGATGCCAGGTAGGATATAGCCAATGGCAGAAAGCCATGGATTTAATTGCAGAAATGTTTTAAGAAGGTATACAATTTAAAAATATTTTTAATGCCCATCAGACAGCTGTGGAAGCAAAGAACTAAAATTTCCAAAAGGGAGGATCTTTTCCTAGCTGAGCTTAAATAGCCAACACTTTACTTCAGTGGGAGCATTTGTCAAATCTAGGCCTGGGCTAATGATTGAACAAGGCATGACCAGAGCTGGTCTATTAAGGGTAACAGAACCCAGCAGAGTGCTTGATATATGGGCTGGTATGACAAGTTGGAATCTAGGAGAACCCCAAATGCATGGCTGATTTTCTTTGTGGAAAATTCATTAAATGTTTAGGGAACATGATGGATGGAGAGATAGTAGAACAGAAAAATCCCGCAGAAATATCCCATAGTCTGATATGAGTGAAGATGCTTAGGAAACAAAGTCCCACCAAGAATGAAGGTCCTACCTCAAACACACCTCA